TCTTCCGACGTATGCCTCGTTCTCCTGGATCGAACTATTGAGGCTGACTTGAGATCCAAAGTCCCCTTGCTCCTCTTCATCCTCTTCCTCCTGGGATTCACCGTCGTTTCCTGCTCCTCCTCCCATGCTGAATGGAAAGATGTTTCCGAAGGTGTTCTTCATTCTTTCTGAGAATGATGATGACGTTGTTTGTTTCCCAGTTCCGCCTGCCATCATAGTGATGTCTGTCGGAGATCTTCTAGTTGCCGTTACTTCAGTTGAGATGTCGGACAGTTCCGACATCTCCTCTCGATCCAATGTCCCGGTGGAAGTGGCAAAATCATGGCCTTGTTCTACCGGAGTAGATTCACTCGCCAGCCTTCTGCCTCTCCCTTCCAGTCCATGTACTTCCTGGTTGTCGTTCATGGTATGGTCCGTATTGACCTCCACTTCTAACAGTTTTTTTCGCTCTTCTGAGGTCTTCTGACTTCTCGTTTCAACCATTCTGCCTGAAACCGTCTCCCCTCTATCGGACCGGGATCGCTTGATCCAATCCACAAAAGGATCGGTCATCGTTTTTCTTTGCTTTTCAGGTATGAATTTCCTAGAGCTATTACCTCGTTTTGGTATCCTTGACTTGTCTAGACTCATTCTCTTATTTGTCACTTAATAATGCCTATACTTAACCCGATTGCTAGATACCTTATAGTTTTGTTAACAATAATAATGACACAACACAATAATTTTCACAAGATTCTATTAAATAGTGACCACGAATCCCTGTATGTTATCAGAGTACAGTTTGTATAAAATTTATTCACACTAACCGAATATCGGTGGTGAGATTGGAAAACTAGCACAATATGATGTTATCAGTCAATTTAAAAGATAGTGTACTCACTACCCAATCAAGCACAGTTTATGTTGATTTAAATTAAAAAAAAAAAAAATATTTATATTTAGTGTCAAACTATAAATACCTCTATGAAAAAAAAACGTATGTGTGATGTACTCTTAGTCGGTCGCAGTACAATAGTCGAACCTGTCTTTTAAAGAAAAAGCTTTCCCTGCTCAGTGTTGCACCAAACAGACAAAACTTTGAAGGCAGTAATTTTCTCAAGTGGGCGGCTATTGCACCCACCGAGTACTGTGTTACCTATCTGCCTTCGGACTGCCCGAGCTAGACCTACTAAAATCCTCAGGGCAGTCACTTTTCCCAAAAACGTAATATGTTACAATCCACACCAATGAATCACGCTCTTTTTAATGTAGACTTAGTGTCGCGAATATCCGAGTTCGGATCTGTTTTGTTTTGGTCTGGTTCTTATTGAAAGGCAAGTTACCAGTGCAGTCACTGATAGCTAGCCTGTGTGCTAATAACCTAATACCTCTCACTTTTTAGTCTTTCTTTCGTCTACCTAAGTTCTTTAATAAAATAATACCCCTCCGGATTGGCACAAGTAGGACCCTTCCGGACTGGCAGAATCTAGACCCCTCCGGATTGGGACCCCTCTGAGTTAGTTAATATAAGACCCCTCCGGATTTGGACCCCTCCGAATTAGCAACTATAAGACCCCTCCGGATTCGGAACCCTCTTAACTTGAGAAAAAACAAAAATTTTTTTTTTTACCCTTCCGGATTGGGAAAAGTAGCTTTTCGGAGATTCCCTTCTTTCAACCTATACCCCTCCGGATCCGTTCTCCGATGCAATTTTGCTCTTTCAATTAACTAGGAAGGGTATGCACTACTTTCCTAGACCCTTCCGGATTGAAGTTAAGCCTCTTATTTGACAATTCACACTAACGGTGAAGGGTCTTATCGCTCGCCTAACTTCGGCTCGCTTAAGCTTTTGCTGTGCCTTTAGCCTTCCCTTTTCGTCTAGAACAGCCTAAAGTTACTTTATTCAACCGCTATTACCTTTTGTTAGGGGTATAAGGGCTTTTCTAAAAAAAAATTTGTAAAACGTGAAGGGTGTACCCTTCCAAATTGAGGAATTTGCTAAAAACAATCTCAAAAAATTTTCACGATTTTTTTCCAAAAAACGTTTGTCCCTATCAGTAAGCTCAGCTAATTTCTGATCTATTGGCACCAAGATCAACTCGTTATGCCCAGTAGTTCCAAAGTTATTAACCAAAACGTCTTTTTCCTAAACTCAAAAATTTTTCTCTCTTATAGGTTCCGCCTAACTTTTTCCGCAAATCAGGTCCTTTCGACCTAAAATTTATTGATCCGAGCTCAGAAGGCCTATACTCTTCTAGTTCAATGCAAAAGACCCGATCTAAAACGCTTTTGCTAAAAAAAATTTGCGAAAAACTATGCTACCTGTACCCCTCCGGATTGATGAATCCACCAAATCAAACACGTTAAGTTCGATTACTCTGCAATCGGGAAGGCTTTCGGGTAGCGGGTTTTAAAACTTGTAGATTCACTAGTGGACGTTGTCCGAACAACTATTTTTACTGTTCTAACTCGAAAATTTTAAAAAATTTTCTGAATTTTTAGTGTTTCGGTTTCTCAAAAATCACGAAATTTCGGTTCTCGGTACGAAAATAGTTCCAACCACTTTCGAACTAAACTTAACTGGTTCTCTCTATTATGGTAGTGCAGTTACGATGTAACACACTAACTTAGCGCTTTTTTCCGTTTCAAAAAAATATCGATATTTCAAAAATCGCGACTTGTGGGGGGATCAAAATATCGCTATTTTGACCCTAAAAACCGGTCTGTTTTCGTTGTTTTTCACTGAAAAACGATATAAGACTATTCATATAGGCTCTATAAGTAATAATAATAGTAATACTATACCCCTCCGGGTTTGTTCAATATCCGAGTTAAGGTGCTTAACTCGGATATTCGCAGTTCGGTGAAGGGTCACTACAGTGCAGCACTGTCGAGCCCCCCGCAGATTACTATCTTAACTTTTGTACCAAAAGGGATACAAAACTTGTTAACGATACCCAACAGTCGATTTTTGTTGTCGTTGAGCCTCTTCTTGTTGCTCCTTGTACTGCTTGCCGGATCAGCCTTCTTCCAAGACCCTTCCGAATTGAGCGCAAATCAGCTGACCCTTCCGGATTGAGCGCAATTTATCATTAACGTGCTTAAATGCTCAAATAACCCTACAGTTCAAGCCTCACAAACGGGCTACAAAACTGATCGTAACGATCCGGACTGATATAAATGCCTGTAACAACAATATATCTATCAACAACAAACGGGGGGGGGGGTCGGATCACATCTTGTCTGGGGGGATGATTTCTACTGATTTTTTACTTTTTTACTGTTTTTGGTTTTTTCGGTTATTTTTTTATGTTTTTTGTTTTTCTTGGGTACTATACTACTTTTTATTTGGTTTTATATATATCTTTAAGTGTTTTTGGTCACGGACCATTCAGGAAATGACGGGACCGCGAATCCCCCCACCCTTCCTGGTTCGTGAATTTTCGGTCTTAACTAGGTTAAAAAACTATTCACGGTAATCCGGAAGGCTTCCGCGTTCCGAACTACCCTTCCGCCCCGGCGGTTTAGGCCTATTAAGGGCGTTAATGTGAGCATCCGCTCGGCGCGGAGTGCTCGTTAACGGTTCCGCCGGTCATGATGTTAAAAAGAATAACACCCAGGAGCGCCATAAAAACATCTATGTAACATTCGCCCGGAAGATACATATCGACGGAAGACAAAACTAAGTCTTAAGACGACTGGCTAACGTCTAAACAGAGCTTTGCATGCTTTTCACCGTCTCTACCAAGCCAGTACTTTTCGGTGGTCTTTCTAACATCGGGTCGACAAAAACGTTACTGCTTTCGGCTTCGGTCAAAACACTCAAATTAACTAGATTACATGCAGATATAGTGAGCTCATGGCTGGGTCTCAGTATCCCCAGACCACGAGGTCACTCCTAAAACCAGGGCTATTACTTATCATATTACTATTGTTTTTGTTCAGTAGATAAAAATCATCATCTCCATCGAAGATGGATCAACCCTTTCCTCCAACTCCTAGCTTCTCATCTTTATCAAAATGAATCTAGATATCAATTAAATTCAAGTCAGGACATGACAGGAAGCTAAAAGTTTACGTAACAGGATAAAAGTTTTAGTTCCTTTACCCTTCCGGATTGATGAATCCGCTGGATCAAGCTCGTTAATCCTGATTTCCCCTTAATCCGGAAGGCTGTCCTCCACCCTTCACCGTTGTCTGCAACGGCCCTGCAACTATTGTAGCAGTACAATAGTTGCAACTCGGAGTGTTCTCTGTTACTCTGTAACTCGCTGTCGTTTTTCGATCTCAATTCCGTAGTTGTTGTTAGCGCAGCCAATGTTGTTCTCTTTTTCTTTTCTTGTTTTAGCCAAAATGGCCGTTTCGGACGTTTCTCAGAAATATGACGTCATTAATCGAATTTTTGGAATTTTAAAATACCAGAATATTCCAGTCCTCACCGTTTGGCCAATCGTTCCAATAACGTTCTTAATTCTTAATAATCACCAATCCGGAAGGCTCGCTGCTAAAAATTCGAATTCTGCAGAGATTGCATTTTTCACATTCTTGCATTTTTGCCGAATGTCACACTGACAAACATATTTCACGATCACCTGAATAATGAAGTCCTATTAAGTGACTCGTTTAAACCAAAAATATCAAGAGTGTACTGGCAATTCTACGAGAAAATCTACGATGAAGTCGATACCTGCACCTGGAGAATCAACTGCGGATGCACAAGATGCTTAAACTTCAAAAAACTAAACTCATTAAACTAAAATATGATTGATCTCATAAACTTGATTCGGGAGCTAACTACCATGGATGTATCCTAAATTCTGTTTTATTATTATTATTATATTACATGTACTTCCGGGCGAATGTCAAACCTGGTAAAATGCCTTGTTTTAATTGTTCTGCTAAATAGTCGGTCTGGTATAAAGTCGGTCCCCGATTTTACCAACTACGTCGGTTTTCAGGCTATTTTTGGGTACAGGATTTTTTTGTTAACGTGCTTTCTTTTTTCAGATTTTGATGCACAAATGGCGTCAGACACCTTGTCTCAGTGCGGTGACAATGAAGATCTTGACCCCCGAATTCAGGTTTGATTTGTAACTAGTATCGACTGATCAATGTTGAAGAACAGAATCATATGTTGAGCAGAAGATACTGGCTGTTTTAGCACGAGTTGGACACACTAAACAAAGCAAGTGTGGATATTAATGTATTAGAAAGGTCACTGGAGGAAGAACGACAAAATTACGAAACGTTGTTTTCAGGCGTTACTCAAAATCTCAATTATCTACAAGCAAAACTGAAATCGGTTATCGAAAAATCGAGGCCATACTATGACATGAAAGAAAAAGTGAAAATCGTAAGTTCTGTGATGTTTTCTGATCTTAAATGAAAATAATTTTGCCCTGCCTGAAAAAGTCTGGTCAAAATATACATAACGATTAGCTGGTTTGTATGCAAATGGCACGGACAGTTCCAACAACCAGAGGTTATTACATAGACGAAAGGAGAAACAACAGCTAGGCTTCATGCATTTCTTACTAAATAGACTCGATTCACGTAATTACCTTCGATTAGCAAGGGTATTGCAACCGGGTTCTATACTTTTTACCGTAAAGAACCTTGTTCAAAGGATGGCCATAATTGCTGGTCATATCAAATTTTAGTCGTGGTCTTAACCCCTTGTTTTCATTGTTTTTATTTATCCGTACGTTTATTTATTTAGGGCTAAAATATAAAAAATTATATGGATTTTATTTCAGTTTTTGTCGGATTACTTGCCCGCCGTCTTTCTTCAAATAAGTTATTCTTTATTATATATATTTATTTAATTTTCCAATTTGATTTCGAGCTTCGAAAGTATATTTTCATAGGTTATTAATTAAGAGTAATGAACGTAGTGAAGAATCTCTTATAGGTCTTGCTGATTTTTTTTTTCCAGGAAAAGACTTGAAAGTCGCTAATAACTACATATATGCATTCATAGATATTGATGCATTTATGAATGCATTTAGATATATATGCACTTTTTGAGTTTAATTGGAATTCATCTGCTGAAAGTGACGTAAATAGCACTCTCCAAATACGAACGTCGAAATGGCCCAAAAAAACGTGAACGATTTCTGTTTCGATAGTAGAATTTATTTTTTAGATTTCCAGCGGAATAAAAACTTCACCTATTGATCCAGTTTTCTCTAGTCGGGTTCATGCTATCAAAAAGCGCCAATCATAAATTGTTCTAGAAATTCAAACAGCTTGAAGGGCATCTTTTTTTCTTTGAAATTAGAGTTTTTTATGCATACTTGCATTCATTACTCTTTTCCAATCTTCAATTGGCTATTTTTTCTATGCTCACTATAAATTTTCCCAATGTCGCAAAAATTGAATTGTTACGCTTGAGATTAGCAAGCGTTATCAATTTGGAATAAAGACTTTTTTCGGATTAACAATTTAAACAATCACTTGTATCTTGATTCACATTGAATTCAAATTTCTATGCGTTGCCGGCCAGTTTAGCCTGGAGGCTCAAGGAAAGCTGTCGGCAAATTCTTTGCCGGCTCATCTGTTGTCGGCTTATTTGTCACATCTTGAAATCGTTTTTTTTTTTGCTGCGCGCATTGTTTAATGTTGAGTCTAGTGTTTGATTTATTTCTAAAATTTGTAGTTATACTTACCTTGACTTCGTCTTTCCTTTGTTTTTTGTTTCGCTCAAAAAAAATTTCTTCGGCCCTAATTATTTCCGACATATTTTTCACCGGCCTACTGGATTTTATATATGGATTTTATTTCAGTTTTTATCGGATTACTTGCCCGCCGTCTTTCTTCAAATAAGTTATTCTTTATCATATATATTTTTTATTTTTCCAATTTGATTTCGAGCTACGAAAGTATACTTTCATAGGTTATTAATTAGGAGTACTGAACGTAGTGAAGAATCTCTTATAGGTCTTGCTGATGTTTTTTTTCCGGAAAAGACTTGAAAGTAGCTAATAACTACATATATGCATTCATAGATATTGATGCATTTATGAATGCATTTAGATATATATGCTTTTTTTGAGTTCAATTGAAATTCATCTGCTGAAAGTGACGTAAATAGCACTCTCCAAATACGAACGTCGAAATTGCCCAAAAAACGTGAACGATTTCTGTTTCGATAGTAGAATTTATTTTTTAGATTTCCAATGGAATAAAAACTTCACCTATTGATCCAGTTTTCTCTAGTCGGGTTCATGCTATCAAAAAGCGCCAATCATAAATTGTTCTAATAATTCAAAGAGCTTGAAGGGCATCTTTTTTTCTTTGAAATTCGAGTTTTTTATGCATACTTGCGTTCATTACTCCAATCTTCAATTGGCTGTTTTTTCTATGCTCACTATAAATTTTCCCATTATCGCAAAAATTGAATTGTTACGCTTGAGATTAGCAAGCGTTATCAATTTGGAATAAAGACTTTTTTCGGATTAACAATTTAAACAATCACTTGTATCTTGATTCACATTGAGTTCAATTTTCTATGCGTTGCCGGCCAATTTAGCTTGGAGGGTCAAAGAAAATTGTCGGCAAATTCTTTGTCGGCTTATTTGTCTCATCTTGAAATCTTTTTTTTTGCTGCGCGCTTTGTTTAATGTTGCGTCTAGTGTTTGATTTGTTTCTAAAATTTGTAGTTATACTTACCTTGACTTCGTCTTTCCTTTGTTTTTTGTTTCTCTTAAAAAAAATTCTTCGGCCCTAATTATTTCCGACATATTTTTTACCGGCCTACTGGATTTTATATATGGATTTTTTTTCAGTTTTTGTCGGATTACTTGCTCGCCGTCTTTCTTCAAATAAGTTATTCTTTATTATATATATTTATTTAATTTTCCAATTTGATTTCGAGCTTCGAAAGTATACTTTCATAGGTTATTAATTAAGAATAATGAACGTAGTGAAGAATCTCTTATAGGTCTTGCTGATTTTTTTTTTCAGGAAAAGACTTGAAAGTCGCTAATAACTACATATGTGCATTCATAGATATTGATGCATTTATGAATGCATTTAGATATATATGCACTTTTTGAGTTCAATTGAAATTCATCTGCTGAAAGTGACGTAAATAGCACTCTACAAATACGAACGTCGAAATGGCCCAAAAAAAACGTGAACGATTTCTGTTTCGATAGTAGAATTTATTTCTTAGATTTCCAGCGGAATAAAAACTTCACCTATTGATCCAGTTGTCTCTAATCGGGTTCATGCTATCAAAAAGCGCCAATCATAGATTGTTCTAGAAATTCTAAGAGCTTGAAGGGCATCTATTTTCTTTGAAATTCGAGTTTTTTATGCATACTTGCGTTCATTACTCTTTTCCAATCTTCAATTGGCTGTTTTTTCTATGCTCACTATAAATTTTCCCAATATCGCAAAAATTGAATTGTTACGCTTGAGATTAGCAAGCGTTATCAATTTGGAATAAAGACTTTTTTCGGATTAACAATTTAAACAATCACTTGTATCTTGATTCACATTGAGTTCAATTTTCTATGCGTTGCCGGCCAATTTAGCTTGGAGGGTCAAAGAAAATTGTCGGCAAAATCTTTGTCGGCTTATTTGTCTCATCTTGAAATCTTTTTTTTTGCTGCGCGCTTTGTTTAATGTTGCGTCTAGTGTTTGATTTGTTTCTAAAATTTGTAGTTATACTTACCTTGACTTCGTCTTTCCTTTGTTTTTTGTTTCTCTTAAAAAAAATTCTTAATTATTTCCGACATATTTTTTACCGGCCTACTGGATTTTATATATGGATTTTATTTCAGTTTTTGTCGGATTACTTGCTCGCCGTCTTTCTTCAAATAAGTTATTCTTTATTATATATATATTTTTTCCAATTTGATTTCGAGCTTCGAAAGTATACTTTCATAGGTTATTAATTAAAAATAATGAACGTAGTGAAGAATCTCTGATAGGTCTTGCTGATTTTTTTTTTCAGGAACAGACTTGAAAGTCGCTAATAACTACATATATGCATTCATAGATATTGATGCATTTATGAATGCATTTAGATATATATGCACTTTTTGAGTTCAATTGGAATTCATCTGCTGAAAGTGACGTAAATAGCACTCTCCAAATACGAACGTCGAAATGGCCCAAAAAACGTGAACGATTTCTGTTTCGATAGTAGAATTTATTTTTTAGATTTCCAGCGGAATAAAAACTTCACCTATTGATCCAGTTTTCTCTAGTCGGGTTCATGCTATCAAAAAGCGCCAATCATAAATTGTTCTAGAAGTTCAAACAGCTTGAAGGGCATCTTTTTTTCTTTGAAATTAGAGTTTGGTGACATTCTAAGACATGTTTTATTGTTCCAATTACTTGAAAAATGGGGAGGAAGTTTGTATTCTGGTGCCTTTTTCACGCAAAATCAGCTGCCACAAATAATCATCAGGGAGAGTTGAGCGATATATCATGTTAAATCCCTTTCAATAGTGATTCAAATTACATTGAAATATTATGAAAAATTTTTCCCAGAGTCGAAAAAGCCGCTCTACAGTTTTTGAATTTTGTCTAAACTCGAGCGAGTAAAGCGAGCGAGCACGTTTATTTAGGCTTAATCCTCGTTTACTTAGGCTCGAGCACATTTATTTACGCTCGAACAAGTTTATTTAGGATCGTTTACAAGTATGCTGAATTTAAATTTTATTTGAATAGATTAATTTTTTGAAGGTTTTTAATGCCATTTTGGGAATCAAAAACTTCAGAAATTCAAAACGTTTTCTGCAAAAAAAAAGATTTTTCTTTGTTTTTCTAGTCATTTTTCTGCAGAAACTATTGTCTTGTTTGCCGATATTACTATGACTGTCAATAATGCCTAAGTTATAGTATTACGTCAGTACCTTCTCTGACATCACTCAGAAAAAAACTACACCATTTTGAAGAAAAAAAACTGTTTAGATTTTTAAATTCGTCGTTTAAAAATCGTGGATTTTTAAAGACTATGGTCGAAACATTCTGTGCAAATTGCACAGTAACCGGCTATCCTTGTTGAACGTATGGCCGCTTAGCACTTTGCTCATAAAGGTGTCTAATTTTAAGAGTTTTGGCATATTATTTTGTATCGCAAGTATTGTGAAGCTCAGCTTCGCCTCTGTAACTTTCATATTTTTTTCGTTCTTTTTGGCTTAAAATACGGTTCAAATTTTCAATCAGTTTTTTCTTTGGTGTAAATTAGTAACAAGCAAAAAGTTTCACCGGTTTTTTTCTCGCAATGAGATAATTTCTTCTAGCTTTTTGTCGCAGTTTCTTTTTAATTGCACCGGTCCTACTCAATGCAGGACCAACCGTGAGGGAAAGGGGATGTTATTTATTTTGCCGTAGCCGATCCCATCTCGAAGAGGCGGATCACACTGGGACCCTGTCACCGAAGTGGGGTTCGAACGCAATCAGGACTGCAGGCTTGAACATGATATATCACGCGACCTCGCACAGCAATGGCTTTGCTATACCTAATTTTCAGACAAAAAAAGCACTCGAATGCAATGTTTGTTCACACCACCTACTCAGAAAAATAACGAAATGAGTCAAATAACCTATGCGTCAAGTTCAACTTGTAGCTAAAGTATTTTCCTGGTTTTTCTTCATTATTTTTTATTGTTATTAGTCAACTTATTAGTCTCCGTCATAGAAATACTTGTAACGCTTACATTAATGAGCTGCATATCGTTTTAAAAACAGCATCAACTTAACTTTTTTTAAAATTCTAGGCACATTCAGAAGCTCAGACGGCTGCTAAGAGATATGACAGGGCCATATCTACCCATCAAGCAGCCCAGCAGATGGTGTCAGTGGCCGAGACGGGATTTCAAAACAGTTCAAGAGCATCCAGGTAAGGTCACAGAGATACTTTTAATTGAATGAAGTGAGTTTGCCTGTATTTAGGTCAAGTGTTTTTATTATTTATTTTTTTTATAAACTTCGGATAGAAATTTTTTCTGTGTGAACTATATTATTTAGGTTAAAAAATTGGCTTTTCGTTCCGAAGATTGTCTCAATAACCTTTCGACTTGTGGCTAGTATAAAGCTTCGCCTGTTTCATAAAATGTGGTATATAAACCAGCCGAAGTATAAACCAGCCGAGGTATCAACCTGCCGAAAGTATGTAAGCGTTATGTAATTGTTGTAACTATTATGTAAAAGCTACGAAAGTCATGCAAGTTTCATTGATGTGACGTAACGTCTCAATGGGCTTACACACTCGGCGCATTTTCAATTGGTTTATACTTCGGCTGGTTTATTTACTCTCTCATAAAAGTGTCGATTTTCTTTTTTTTTCAGGAAAAAGTCTTAAATTTTGTTCACGCTCAATTTGGATTTTTCGCGGCTTGGCATGTGATTTTTTTAAAGTTCAGTGCATTTCTTTTGCTAAAAGGAAGGCTAACTCCACTACCGAACAGAAAAATTGTAAAGGTCATGAAAAACATTTGATTAACATGAATTTAATTATCAGATTTCCCAGCGAAATCAAAGTTTTACCTATCGATCCAGTTATCTCAAATTGGGATAATTTTAACAAAAAAGTGTCCATCATAAATTGTTCTACAAATTCGAAAAGCTTTAAGGCCATCGATTGCTTTTTTTTAGTTTTCTTGCGTTCACTACTTTTTTCCAACTGTAAGTTGGCTTTGTTTTTTCGAAAAGCTTTCCTCAAATTGTACTCCATTCAAGACAAGCAAATGACACTTTTTTAGATAGTTTTCTTCATATTAAAAAAAAATTGTTTGAAAACCTGAAATCGATTGAGTGGCTTCGGTCTTTTATGTCCACTGTCTTGTAATGCTATTACGGGAATGTGGCGTAGTGTGATAGTACGATGCAGTTGGTACATAGTTCGTAAATAAAGTTGGTATTTTTGGTTGCATTTTTGAATTAGAAGGCTGAATTAGCAGTATAATTACATGTGCTTTGACAGTTGACTAGTAATTAGTTAATCTAGTTAATGCTTTTCTTTATTCAATTGAACCGGAAACAGCTATTTGTTTCATACAACAGTACAATAATTTACGTTCCACTTAAGAAATTTTCCTATTCGATATCCTTCGCGAGATGTTTGAAATGCATAATTTATACGCAATGTGGTTTAATAGATTCTAATTTATTATCTGCAAAATTGGATTGGTTGCCGTTTGCTTATTACATTCCTGATAATTACATGCAAAATTGAGTTTGCGCATTTTAAGTATTCCGATTTTTGCCGCATTCTCGCTCGTGTTTGCGAAGTTGCAGTTTTGCCTCTGTGTGTACTTGTGGCATCGGAATTGGTTTGAAGCTACGCTTCGTCTGTTTAACAGTCTAATTTTTCAAGTGAGCTAGCACCCAAGTCACAGATACTGTTATTTCTAACCCCAAATATGCAAAGAAAGATGTTTCGCGAATAAATGGAAGCGCGACACTTTATCTCCTAGTCGATCTTCGGATCCGGCTCAAAGAAAGTTTGTTTTTCAATACCTATTTTTGCTTTTAAACATTTTTTGCCTTCTTACAGCTGTTCTGAACAGTTTAATCTATTGTGTTTGCCAAGTGCAGCTCAGCAGCATATGTTGTTTTAGAAAAAAAAATAGGTAAAATTTTTAATTTGCTACCTCATTCATTTATCCGGCTTCAAAGTTTTCTTGAAAAATTGGGTTCTCTCACTGTTTCTTGAAAGATTTCTTCAGGGATTCAGTTGGTGCGGTGATCAGATTTTTGAAGCAAAACTGATCTTAGTAATTGATGGTTATTCCTTGTGTATATATTTTTTCTAAATACAAAGTTGTTTGATTTGTTCGTATCTGTACAGAACAGTCCCATACAAAACATTCCAATACAAAACAATCGAAAAATCATAGTAAAGTTCAAAAAAACACTCCCATACAAAACAGTCCCAAAACTAGTCCCATTGCTCGAAGTGATAATTTTTCCTGAAGCTGATGAGAAAATTTATCTCACATTAAACACATTTTGATTCCAACTAATCCGGATTACAATAGGTAGTATAGCAGAGAAACTAGAACCTAGATAACAGCAACCTAGAACAACCTAGATAATGAATACATACAAGGTGTTGGTTTTTCTTTTCCCCCCTCTCAACTCTCTGAGGTTGAACCCTTTGTTGTACCCTAGATATACCTGTTATCATATTTACCCGAATCTTTTTCCGGAAAATTTGAAAATTTTTTGCGCCGGCGCGGATTGGATCTTTTGATCTCTAGAGTTTGAGTCTAATGCTTTCACCACTATACCATGAGGACTTCGATTTTCATCTGAATTATTGTTCCATTTTTGGCTCTTTGATCTTTAATCACGCTCATGTTTGAGTGTTCAAAGCGTAATTCAATTCTGTCGGCACCAAAAGATCAAGGTCAAAAAATTCAAATGGTTTTGGACTGTTTTGTATGAGACTGTTTTTAAGAACCTTTTTTGATGTTTCGGACTCTTTTTTATGGGACTGTTTTGTATATGCACCGATTTGTTATAGTTTGTGAAGATGTATATGCACCGATTTGTTATAGTTTGTTATAGATGTTATGAATATTATGATGATTCATCAAATAGTTTTTTGTTCCAGTTAGCAGACTTTTTTAAATTATAAGTAAATGTTTCCTGAGTTTACCTCGTCCCCTCTCTCCTACCCCCAAAGAATCGGGAAAAAGATTTGTTCTGCAGCGATAACTGTCATCGGATCAGTATCTGCTGCCTGCTGAGCAGCGGGTTGATTTTTTTGCTCTCCAGAGTCTCCTTAGTGGGTCAATGGTTTGCATTTTTTCCTGTCAGTATTTCCTTGCAATGTTTGCTTGCAATGATTTTTGATTCGTTGTAATGATTTAAAGATTTTTGTTTTTCATGATTCAGATCTGCGTCAGTCGAAATCATAACCTCCGATGAAATCGAAGCTGGAACCAGTTTGGATTCGAATGCGACAAAGACAGCGGCAGATCCAAATACATCTGGCTCGTTTGACTTAGCATGGCAAGAAATGTTAAACGTGGCGGTCAGTAAAGTATACGAGGCTGAGAAAGAATTGACTGACAGTGAGATCCAACATCAGACTAAGATGAAAGCTTGTGTTGCACTGGAGGCACAGTTAAAGGCATTGGAAAAAAATTTGAAGAGTTCTATCAAAAAGTCGAGGTCAGAACTAGAATATATCATTTTTCTTAAATATCTAAAGATTTCGTTCCCAAGGTTACGATTTCGCCTCTCTTTTCAGGGCGTTCATTTTAGTAGGTTAAATGAATATTTGTTGTTTCAACCTATTCACGAAGCGCGAAGGATCTATGGCGTATACTGTGTATATTTCTCATAAGTATTTTGACTAAATTGAAGAAAGCTCGTAGGGGTCAAGTATAAAATCATATGAAAGCCCTTTTGGTCGCGACTCGCATTACAAAAGAAATCAGTCACCTAAAAAATTTAATTTTTTTTCGATTTTCAGACCAAATTTCACAACTCAAACTGGATAACACCCAATCCAATTCTAGGAACAATGAAATCTCATTCTCGTAGTTTTTTTTATCTAATTCAATTGCACATTTTCTAAAACAAGGAATTGTAGAAAGATTTTTTTTTCAATTTAGAAAAATCTTCTGATTTTTGGTTTCTTTTTAACTGCGATTACTCTGCTATCTGCACAGCCAACGGCTGTCCTCATTTGATCTAAAAAATGTGCTAAAGTTTTTTGTCTTATTTTTATTTCGTCATTATTAAAATTCGATGAACAAAGTGAAGATTTTTGTATAGGTTGTTTAAGAAAAATTAATGAACGTAGCGAGGACTCTTATTTAGGTCTGCTGATTTTTTTGTTTGTTTTTCAGGAAAAAGTCTTAAAATTTGTTCACGCTCAATTTTTATTTTTCGCGGTTTGACTTGTGATTTCTTTTTAAGTTCAGTGCATTTCTATTGTTAAAAGGATGGCAAACTCCACTATCGAACTGCAAAATTGTAATGGTAACGAAAAACGTGATCGACATCTAATTTCGAAAATGGAAATTAGTTATCAGATTTCTCAGCGAAATAAAAGTTTTACCTATTGATCCAACAAGTTAATTTTAACCTAAAAGTGTCCATTGTAAATTTTTTGTACAAATTCAAAGAGCTTCAAGGTCATCTATTTTCTTCGAAATTCCAAAGTTGAAGATTTTTCAAAAAGTAAGTCGTTTTTTTTTCAGTTTCCTTGCGTTCACTAGTTGAACTCTCAGTTGGCTATGCTTTATTTATGATAATTTTTTTTGTTTCTCTTTCATTTCCTTTGTTAAAACGAAGGTAAAATTTATTCACGAACAGTAAAGGTAACGGAAAATGTGATCGATTTCTAATTTCGAGAGTGCATTTGAATTTTCAGTTTTACCAGCTGAATTTAAACTAACTTATTGATTCAGTTTTCTCAATGGAATTGATTTTATTTTAAAAGTGTCCATCATTTATTGTAATGGAATTGATTTTATTTTAAAAGTGTCCATCATTTATTGTTTTTGAAGTTCAAAGAGCTTTACAGCCATATGTTTTTTCTTTGAAATTCAATATTTTTCTGCTTCCTTGTGTTGATGAATCTTTTCCAACGGTCTATCGGCCATATATATATAAATTCAAATTTAAGCAGCATTCTGCGCATATGGTGTATTGGTAACACTCATGGTTGACATGACAGGTCTGGATTTCGAATCCTGTCGGGACTTATATTTTTGCAAACTGAAAATCTTCGACTATTTTTAGACAATCGTACTTCGTCGGTCTGTTTATTTTTGTCGGCTTTGTTACCGCAGGACCTACTTTTTGAAGTTTTAGCGTTTTTAAATGCTATTATTGAATTTTCTAATAGTGCAGGTAATTGAGTTCCAAAATTTTTCAGATTTATTTTCCAATTTTTTTTGACCAAAAAATAACGATTTTTAAGACTTTTTTGTATTTTTTGGTTCATCTGCACGTGGCCATAGTCATTCATTTTCGTATCGGTAATAGTGGTAATATCAGCTTCGCATCTGTGTTTATTTATTGCATAATTTGAAAAAAAAATTCAGACCCTACTACGAAACAAAATCAGTCCGTAATTTTCAACTGGAGGAACAATTGCGAAGGATCAAACACTTGGAAGTCAAGATAGTAGAAAGTAAGCAGAAATACACTGCAGCATTGCGCAATTTGGAGGCGATAAGCGAAGAGATTCATTTCAGAAGGGAGAGTAAATTAGGACCTAGAGGTCAAGGGGTTGGGGCTGAACATACAGAAACACAGCTTGGTGAAAATGAAACGACTGTGAACAAAAGTGAAACGATCAGCGAAGAAACTGTGATCACTTTCGACCGGAATTTACCTGACAACTTTGACCAGAAAAGTAGTATTACTGTTACGCCGAAGCATCTGGCTACAAGTAATGGTCAAAATAATACTACTTCAAAGCCTTCAAGCATGCGTGAAGGTCCCATTGGAGCTGACGCAGATGTTAAAACACCAAAATTAGCTACTCAAAAAAGTAATATAAGTGACAAATTGACAGCTTCGACTGAGAGTAAGTCAAGTGTGACATCACTTCGGAGCCAATTCTCGGCTCTGACACCCGAAGATGCAAAAAAGTTGGCGAAAGGCGAGACCAATATTGGCGAACTATTGAATTTAAGCGAAGAGGGGGAAGAGCGTGAAATGTTTTCAGCAAAAATTGAGTCCGATATCAAAAAACTATCAGCCAATGATTTGTCATCTTCTTTTCAAAATATTTCAACTCGAGATGTTGATAATGAAGATGATTATCCTTCGACCGTTTCGACGCCGGTAAAGTTACGTAGGCGAATCGAAAGCGAAAGCAATAGCAGATCTAGTTCAACTGCTGGACATATTCCGAGCTCAAGTTCTGCATCGTCAACAGTCGGCAAATTGAATCATTCCAGATCCAAATCAGAAGAAAAGCTCTACCAAAACCCAGAAAACTAAAATAATTGTTTTTATTTCTTTAAAATGTCCTAACTTGTGTAGTTTAACAATAGTTGTGCAAATAATCTGAATTAGTTAGTGTTCCGAGTAAAATTTAACTAATTATTGGTTTTTATTATAATCACCGCCAGTTTTATATGTTGTAGTACATTTGTTAGCCCACTTTGATTCATGTTGCTACGTTTTTGTGGCGTTTTCAGAAATCAGAGGTGTACTTATATGAAAACTTTTTGTTTTACTTTTGTAAATACAAGGGGCTAAAATATTGCACCAGTCCCATGTGAGCGACGTCTATTTATAAGTTCTGAAATTTTGGTCAAATGATTTTTTTCAGATGACATGAGTGGCGAAAACTTAGCGACTGCTCCAGCTCGGGTTCCAATGACATCTGCCCAGCAGCTGGACGCTTTCAACTACAGACCGGAAAAATATGTAACCCACCCTCCGCCAACCCAGACTTCACAATCTGCCCAAATAATGAGGCCATGGCAACATGCGCCCGCTGATTATGAATCAAGGTCGACTAGTAATTACGATGGAAGGGCCGGATATCCTACGAATGGAAACCATAATCCAAGTCTCCCACAAGACTTCACACCTTACCCCCCTCAGTACCAATATGAACACCAACCTAATCAAAGTAACTATCAGTCATATACTACTCAAAGTGGAACTATGAACCAACAATATCCTCCTATGATTGCCGAATACAACAGAAATCGCAATTTCCAGAACCCGCAGATGTCGAGTCATGAAAATTCCGGAAGTAAGTATGCAAGTCCAGTTAATGCATACCCGAGTCCATTGGCTCCTCGTGAGTTAGCATCAGTTCCCCAAACACCAGAAACTTACATGCCACTTCAGTCGCCAGTTGTGGCACAGACTCCTAAGCACGAAAGTTCAGATATTGTCCAGTTAAAACAATACGATCCTAGTTGGGAGAATTGGGAAATGTTTAGAAAGGATGCAAAGTTAACCGAACTCTTCCCTGGTCAAAGAAGTCAAATTAGAAGGTGCCTTCTAAGCTGCAAACAGAATATGCGGGAATCCATTGTGCAATTGGCCAGTCATGCCACTAAGTCGTCAAATGTCGGGAGTACCTCACAAAGCAGAGGAATGCATTCCAAATTACTAATGAGTGAATTAGGTAATGTTAATATCAAAGAGGAGAAAAAAACTGAGCAGGTTGAAATAGAAGATTCAGAAGCGGAAAAGGAGAGACAGCTTGCTAGGCAGAAGTTAGAAATGGAGCGATTGGAGTATGAGAGGCTGATGGAGTTGTATGACGGAGATAGAGACCTAGTTGAGAGTGCATTGCAGCATTACAGAGAAGAGAGACTAGCAGCGGCTGCAGCAGCGAAGACTGAAAACAGCGCAGATGAATCGGCAACGGGCAAGAAGAGAACGGCTCGGTGTGGAAAAAAGGTAAACTTTTAATAACCTTTTTAAGAGTAATGTACGTAGTGAGTACTCTTATATAGGTCTTGCTGATTTTTTTTTATTTTTAGGAAAAAGTCTTTAAATTTGTTCACGCTCAGCTTTGATTTTTCGCGTTTTGACTTGTGATTTCTTTTTAAGCTCAGTGCATTTCTATTGTTAAAAGAAAGGCAAACTCCACTATCGAACAGCAGATTAAGATTAAGACCATTTATCCACGGGGGAAAGGACCAACACAAGAGCTGTACAGCTCATCACGGCGAACCGCTGTTGTGCCCCTATTTAAGAATTACATGCAATTTTTTTGGTTATTTTTCTGGGCTGGATAATGTTGCTTCACCCTCAAGCAACGAGCACGGATCATGGTGGGCCTCAAACATCCGACCTTTCGAATGAGAGGCGGAGACGTAACCATTTCACCGCCGCTCGCCTGCAAAATTATAAAGGCCCCGAAAAACGTGATTGACTACCAATTTCGAAAATGGAATTTAATTATCAGATTTCGCAGCAAAATTAAAGTTTTACCTCTTGATTCAGTTTTCTCAAATTGGGTTAATTTTAACGAAAAAAGGTCCATCATATATTGTTCTACAAATTCGAAAAGTTTTAAGGCCATCTATTTTTTTTTCGAAATTCAGAAGTTGAAGATTTTAAAAAACAAGTCTGTGTTTATTTTAGTTTTCTTGAGTTCATTACTTTTTTCCAATTTGTAGTTGGCTATGTTTTTTCGATAAGCTTTCCTCTAATTGTACTTCATTCGAGACAAGCATATGACGCTTTCTTAGATAGTTTTTTTTGCGGTTTGACTTTCGATTCCTTATGTTCTGTCCATTTCCTTTGTTAAAAGGAAGGCAAAATTAGCTATTGTACGGCAAACGGGGGAATGATCAGGCCGGAGCGTTTGCTAGCCCTATATAACGAACAAAAATTTTACGATTGAAATGTTTGAGTTCCAGTTTATCCACAGATCGATTTAATAACTTTTGTGCTCTAGAACGAGGACGCCGTGAAAGTGACAGTAGATGCAGTCATGCCTCAAAAATGGTGCACGACAGCCAGAACACGTGCGAAAGCCACCACCAAGCAAAGATCACCAGGGGTTGGAGTTGGACTCCATATGTCTGACGTCATCAGAGACGACGCCACCTTAGCAGCACTTGGGATCCCACTTTCCGACGATGATTCGGACAAGGAAGACGAGGGCGAAAAGAGGAGTAAAATCAGTGCTGGGTTGAGGAGACCCCCAGGAGTGTCGGATGATGAGTACGAGGGTGGGGACTCAGAGAAGAGCGAAGAGTCTGACCAGGAGTCGACTGGCGACGAAGATGAAGAGGTTGATGATCTGGACTCAAAACCAGACAAGAAACGAAGTTCGACGGGGTGGTTGGCAAAACAAAAAAGAGGTAACACTAATTTTTGGCTTGTTTTTTTGTTTTGTTTCTACTTGGCTGCTGATTGACAAAATTATGAGAATTTTCTTCAATTATTTTATGGTGCCTGTTTATGTTTGCCTAAGCCTGATTTAAATCATTTATGCTTTTTCAGTTTGACAAATCATTGATTTTGTTGCGTCATCAAGGAACTATTTCAGGCAATATCTTGGATGCCAATTACGTTCCAAACCTCAAAGGTGTCGGGAGGAAAACGGAGTCAGATGATGACTTTGTGGTTGCATCCGACGATTATGACTCGGAGGAAGCCGTTGCTCAGAAGTCCGATGAAAGTAGCGACGAAATTGTCGAGTCAGAAGACAGTGGTGACTTCGGAGCGAAGCGGAAGAAATCGAAATCAAAGTCTTCTTCCAAAAAAGGAAAGAAAAAAAGTAGAAAAAGAAAAGCGGCGTTTTTCGAGGAAGAAGAAGAGGAGGAGGAGATTTCGATGGTGAAGTCGAGAGGAGTGCGAGCTTCAAAAGCAACAAAAGATTATTCTGAGTTCTTCAAGAAGCAGAAACTGACGACAGAAGGAGGAGAGGTGGGCGAGGGTGGTGCGAATGGACAGGAGGGTGAGGGGCAGAACGGGAATGAATCAGAGATGAGTGAAGAGGTCGAGGAAGGCTCCTCTGATGAATATCAAGTAAGTAGTTATTATTTTTAATTGTATATTAAGAGTCGATGAACGTATTTCAGACTCTTATATAGGTCCCCACGATTTTTTTGTTTTTTTTTCGGGAAAAGTCTTAAAACTTGTTCACGCTCAAAATACTTTTTTTTCGCGGTTTGATTTTTGATTTCTTTATAAGTTCAGTTTATTTCCTTTGTTGAAAGAAGGCAAACTCCACTGTCAAACATCTAAACTGTAAAAGTCACGACAAACGTGATCGGCATCTAGTTTCGAAAGAGAAATTTAGTTTTCCGATTTCCACTCAATTGGTCTTAATGAAACAGCCCAACAAAGTTTTAAAAGGGTATAATGATAATCTTACAAGTTTGCGCAAAACCTTATTAGTTTGTTTTTAAATGAAAAATTGGTGTTTTCTGAGGTAGAAATGACGTTTTTGGCTTTCAAACGAAAATTATTTATATATAGAGTTTTTAGATTTTACATCCTTAACGCTCAAAAAAGTAATACAAAAAAATGAGAAAAAAAAGAAGAGACTTCCATGATAAAGCAGCATTTAATAATTTCAAAAGGTACATCAGATGTCCACTCTGAATTTCAAGTTACAGTAATGATGATGCTTTTTATTCTTCAAGTTATGTAATTCTATTTTGTAACGATGAAACTTAATTTGTTCTCTTCATCATCTGATTATTTAGGCCTCTTCGGACCCCGAAGATTTCAACGTGGGCAAAAAGGCTAAAAAGAAAGCAAGGGACGCCAAGATGGCTAGACTAAAGGCAATTCGAGAAGCTAAAGACAACAGACGCAAAACAAAGAAGACTAGTTCAGATGAGGACCCTGCGTACAGTCCCAAGAAGGGAGCCAGTCCTATTGTGGCTAGTCGGGGAGCGAGGAAGAAAAAGACGGTGATCAATGATGACTCGGATGAGGATCTTGGAGACGGGGACTTCGGAGGGGGAGGAGGGGGGAGTCAGCAATATAAAGGAGCGAGTAGTGACGGAGATGACAGTGATCGGGCATTTGACTACAACCTATCAAAACCGGTAAAATTGTCAGTCTCTCTTGGTCGGAATGTTTTAGGATAATTTAATAGGATATTCTATATATTCGGGATCATCTTATTACACCCTTTTTATGGTAGCCTGTATTATAAACGAGCATAGCACAACCAATTGCTCTGCAAATAGATTGGATTGTTACCAAACTAACAGTACAATGGAAAAGCTATAGCCTACTGCGTAGAGTTTGCAGTAAATTGATACATAACTCATAACTTGAATCTATTGTGATTTTTATACTTTAAGGATAAGAATGCTATTGTGCGATTCTTCAACAACAGTACACTTCAAGAGATTCAACTGGTGCAAGGGCTTTCTAGGAAAAAAGCAGACCTCATCATTCCTCTGCGGCCCTTCGCAAATTGGATGGACATCGTGCTCAAGTTCAAAACCGAGAAGGGTCTAAACGAGAACCACCTCGTAGAAGCGAAAGGCGTCATTGACCAGCAGACTACTCTCACAAACTTCCTAGAAAAGTGCGAATCAATTGGGCTGGAGATCGAAGAATCGGTGCGAAACTTGTGCAATAGACAATCTCTAGACAAAGAAGACAACGAGGATGTGGATGACGATGATCAGATTCAGATCGTAAAACAACCTCAGTTGCTCAATAGCGATTTCAAACTAAAACCGTACCAAATTATAGGGTTGAACTGGTTGTATGTGATGTTCAAAAACAACACCAATGCGGTGCTGTCTGATGAGATGGGATTGGGCAAGACCATTCAGACGATCGCGTTCCTAGCATACCTGAAGGAAAACAACGAGGTGCTTTTTGTTTATGTAGTTTTTGGTGCTAGGAATTTTAGCAGACCGGTTTTTAGCAGGCTCGGAACAATTATAAAGTGTGATAGGGGGGTTGAGAAATTAGACGATAAGCAAATTAGACGGAGGTACTTGAAAGGAAATTAGACGGTTTTGCAAAACTGCAATTGTGAGAAAATAGACGAAAGAGAGAAATTAACTTTGTTTGCACACAAATTGCGTTAGAAAAATAAAATTGTTTGTAGACAACAGTTCAATTTCGGTGGCCAAAAACTTCACAAGTCAATCACGCATAATTTATTCAATTCAAAACTCTCCTGTAATATTCAGATTTGACATTTTATGTTCATTTAAACTAAATGTTTTGATAGGTATTGACATTTTATGTTCTTTTTGTATTTGTGAAACTTGACTCTTAAGAAAAAATTTTTTTTGGCCCTTTCCTTTTCATAGCTTTTTCGTCTTAATGCCAGATTTGTAAAAAATAAATTCCGTCTAATTTCGTTTTTGTAGTATCCGTCTAATTTGCTTATTGCCTAATTTCCTAGGCCCCGTGTGATAGCTAACTTCAAACGCTTAGCTACCGCTTGCTCCCCTGCGCTTCAATTCAACACGAGTGTTATTGTGTGCGTAAATCTTTGTTTTGCCGCTAACTTAGACTGTTGGGTTTTTGAAGTTGATAGTTTTATTGACAAATCGTGAGATAATTGACTTAATTGGGTATGCATGCCCCAGACTGAGCGCAGTTTTGAGTCTGCCAATTAATCATCCATCACTTTATTACGTTGGTCTGCTAAAAGACTCATTTTTCACAATTTATGCTAAATGATTGGTCTGCTAAACGATCGGTCCCCATTTGCATTGTTTTACCAGCTAAATTACTAATTGTACACATTAACGTATTGAAGTATGTGGACTCCCAAGGTGTAAAGGAGGTGTTTATTAAGTGTCAATGAACGATGTGAAGACACGACACTGATATACAACGCTGATTTAAATTATCAAAGAAAGTGCCAATTGTGAATGTTTCTGGAAATCCAAAGAGCTTTAAAGCGATTTTTTTGGAACTTTTTTGAAACTTTCTGTTGACTATGTTTGAAAGTTTGTCGACAATAAAAGGTTCATGAAGTTCTAAGAACATCAGGTGATATGGTTTTTCTTCAAAATTGAAAAGTAGTTGTATATCAAAAGTTGAAAAACAAGGATTGAAAAACTCCTTCATGTAATTCTAAAAAGTTTCGTTTAATTAGGTCTATGGCAAACAGATGATAATAGCTCCTGCTTCTACCCTCGAGAACTGGGCCAGAGAGTTCACAGACTGGTGTCCTTCCATGAAGTTGTTCCTCTATTATGGATCTCAAGAGGAGAGGGTGGACTTACGAAGGAGAGCACTCTATGACAAGGAGGACTTCGATGTTATAATCACCACATATAATGTCTGCATCTCAAATATACTGGACAGGACTCTATTCAAAAAGTAAGAAAGAATGTCTCCTCCTAAGTAAAATGCTTGACTATGCGCGCTAGATTAGTTGATGAAGATAATTTATAAAGGCACAGTTCAAAGTTTTTTTGCTAGTACTCTCTTTCTAATCGTGATCGTTTCGAAGAGCACAAAGATGCCATGTTCTGAAATACTTCAACATTCAAAGCCGAAAAATGACTTGAATTTGAATAATAGTAGTTGGTTCAGTTTAGTTTCATTTGGTAGCGTATTTGTTCCAGACTTCACATCCAGTACATGGTGATAGACGAAGGCCATATGTTGCGCAACATGAACTCGCAGAGGTACCAGCAACTGATGCGCATCAGGGCAGACAGTCGCCTGCTGCTCACTGGGACTCCTCTGCAGAACAACCTGGTCGAATTAGTGTCCGTGTTGACATTTGTGATGCCAAAACTATTTGGACAGCATATTGAGGCATTTAAAACACACTTTCAAGGTAAATCACTTCGAAGAAAAATATCTACTGAAGCTCTCAAATCGGCTATTAGCTTGCTTCATCAGAGTTATAATCTGGCTTCAGTAGCGGATTTGGGGGGGGGGGGGTAGACGCCCCCCCCCCTTTCAGTGATTCGATCCCCTGCCGACCCAAAGGGTCCCCCCTTTGTACTATTTTGAGATATCCATTTTTGGCTGACTGACCTTAAAATTTTTCTAACGGCGCCAATCTATACTAATTTTGATTTTTTGGTCGAACTTTTCCAAGTGCCTAAAAACGCCTTCTTTCAAAAATTTGCCTGCGGCGTAGAAAATTTGGTACAACTAGGGTCTTTATAGTGTTTGGGGAGAGCTCAGAAAATCAATTTGGTCGACCTAAAAAAAAGGTCGACAAAATTTTCAAAATATTTTGAAAAAACGCCCCCCCCCCCTCGAGAAATTCCTAGATTCGAGCCTGCCTGGCTTTGTCAAAATTGCTCACGTCTGTCAAACTTGAAAGAAGGTTTCTGTTATGTTGTTTTCGATTTTCTGCATGCTTTTTCCACATTTAGTCTAAACTCTTATAAGCTGAACTTTTAACTCTTTTTCAGCATATGCTGGTCGCAATGGAAATGGAGAAGAAGATTCTAGTGATTTTGAGTCTGCCAGGATAGAACAAGCGAAGAAGATCATGAGGCCATTCATGTTGAGACGACTGAAGAAGGATGTGATCAAACAGCTGCCAGCCAAACAGGAGAGGATAGTGAAGTGTCAGATGACAGAGGCTCAGAGGGATTGCTACAGTGATATCAAGCTCAGCCTAGCCAAGACATTTAAGGTTAGAAACCAGGCATTGAAAAGGAAACTGGCGATTAAATGGACATTTATCTCGCTATCAAATCGGCTGTATGAGGGAGATTTGTGCAAGCTTTTTATGTGTTGTAAAATGCTGCTTTATAGTAATAATTAAGTTAATGACGAACAAGTGAACACTTTCAAAGGACAGGTGATTCAATACAACTTTAGAAAATGTGTTAATACTATTAGAAAAACAATGGCTCATTACTTAAAGTGCCCTTCTACTAAATATTTACCAAAAAAAATCTTTGGTTTGTGACCCTTTAGTTTTTCATCATTGTGTATATTTTCATTAATTAATTCGTATTTTGATTTTTAAAAATAATTGAAATTGTTTAGGATCGACAGGAAGGTAAAGAAGATAAGAAGGATGGCAAGTCTCTCTCCAACGCCATGATGCAGCTGAGAAAAGCCACCAACCATAAACTTTTACACAGACGCATATTCACAGTGCCAATGATGACCAAACTATCCAAAGCTCTAGTCAGAACAGAGAAGTACGAGAGCTCCAACGAACATCTGGTGTTGGAAGACTTGACTTACATGTCAGACTTCGAGATACATCAGTTGTGCCACGATTCGGCAAAAACAAGAAAGTTCTGTTTACCGAATGAGGATATTTTGGATAGTGCTAAAATCAGAGCGCTGGATAAACTGTTGCCGGAAATTAAAGAGAAACAGGAAAAGGTGCTCTTGTTCAGCCAGTTTGTGATTGTGCTCGACATTTTGCAGGTAAATCAAAAAATGTGCATGGATTGAAATCAAAACAATGGTGTACATTTTTTTGGTAACTGAATTAAGTTATGTGAAAAATAGACTCTTAATTGTGCGTAAACCTCATTCGGTCCCTCTATAGTTATGTTTCACATTAAATTAAAAGCACCATGATTTGTTTTTTTTTGCTCTGATTTTATAATTATAAAATGTCGCTTTTAAATTTGATTTCATTGGCCTGCGTTACTTAAGTAAAAAATTTTTTAAAAAATTTTTTTAGAAAGAGAAGCTTGATGCGACTGAATCAAATTTAAGGCAATGTAAATGTTTCTTATTGAAATTTAGGAGTACTTGGCGATCAGGAAGCACAAGTTTATCCGACTAGACGGCAGCACAGGAGTAGAACAGCGACTGCTCATGATAGATGAGTTTAACCGCAGTTCCTCGGAGGACTGTTTCGTGTTCCTTCTCTCCACCAGGGCAGGGGGTCTGGGGATTAACCTCACATCGGCCAACCACGTCATCATACACGACATAGACTTCAACCCTTACAACGACAAACAGGTACACAGGTTATCCTGTCTTCAGGAAAATTGTCTTTCGTAAACTTTATCAAAAAAGTGCAGGTCATAAATTGTTCCTGAAATTCAAAGAGCTCTAAGGCCATCTATTTTTTTTTTTGAAATTCCAAAATTGAAGTTTAAAAAAACAAGTCAGTATTTTTTTCTGTTTAATTGCGTTCATTGACTTTTTTCCGACTCTCTTTTGGCTATATTTGTTGTTTCGTGCTAGTGCGTGCGAAGCACAGCTCGGCTTCTGTGATGAAAACTGTTAGTTGCCTCTCTAAACAGTTAATAGGCTCACGTGGGTATGTTGGAAATTACTTCGTTACATTTCAAAAGGGTTTTGGAGGTATAAGGCAGCAAACAAGCGTTTCAAGGTAAAACCTCGAATGTATGAGCAATTTGCTTTCTTCAATTCCGGCAACTGAAAAAAAAAACATTTTTCGTGAAACAACTAACATAACAGCATTTGTACCGCCGCTGATCCTTGCAGGAGATCTCCATGATTTTTTATTGGGGATGTTCCGCCGTTTTCAAACAGCGAGCTTAGGTCATGCCGGGACTTGAACCACTACTTTTTATTCGAGAAGGGTGTTTCTTTTGGTTGAAATGGTATTATCGGACCTTTGGAAGTTTCATAAAGGGAAGTCGTTCCATACAATAAGTACAATTGTGAACAGGCTGAAGACAGAGCACACAGAGTGGGCCAAGAGAAGGAAGTGTTTGTCTACAGACTCATAGTTGAAGACTCAATTGATGAGGGAATGCTGGCGATCGCAGACGAAAAGCTCAAATTAGAGGAGAATCTCAGTACCAATGTTCATAAAACACGACTGCCGACAGACAGTAATGATGGAACGCCTGTGGCGTCTGATAACGAGGATTCCAATAGCAGCGTCCCCGGAGGTCCACAACAGTCCTCGGACGTCGCAACTCTTCTTGGGAATATTCTAGAACTTTAATCTATTATATTTGTAGAATGAATAAAACGGTATGTGTACTGTCTTTTTTTTAAGTGTCAATGAACAAAATGAAGACATTTGTTACGTCGTGTAGATTCTTTTTCGTGAGTTTTAAAATTTTTTCAGGCGTGTTCTTTTTGCTATTTGGCTTCCGATTTGGCTCGCCTCAAATTCATTAAGTTAAAAGGAAGGCAAATTTAGCCCTCCAATTAACAAAGAGGAAATAGCGAAAAAATAATTTTTACTTCCATAAGTATATTTTAATTTTCAAGAATTCCCACCGGAATAAAAAAAAACAACCCAGTGATCCAATTTTCTCGAAATGTGTTAGTTTAGTCGAAAAAGTGTAAATAATATAAGCTTGATGAAATTCAAAGTGCTTTAATGTGATAAAATGTTGGAAGTTTCTGGTCTGTGAGTTCATTGACACTTTTCCGGCTATGTTTGTATTTATCTTTCTCTTCTGGCTGATTGTAGATTAATGTGTTTAATGTCTCAACTGATTTGATCGGTTTTTGAACTGTATGAGCACCCTAATTGGGTAATGCTAAATAGTGCGATTTGCATCATTCTCTGTGAAATAAATTAGTTTTTCTTATAAGTTAATTTGAGTTTTTGTTTGAATAATGTTAAAGACTTAATTTAAGAAATAAATATTCCTGTTTGCAATCTTTCTGAATAACTGTCTATGTAATCATTTGTATGAGTTTAGTTCAAATAAAAGTCTTATTTCAGGTGTCATGAGTTTTCCTCTTTTCCTGAAATCGTTAATAGCGTATACATGACGAATCATACATCAGAATTATGGATCCAAAAAAGGCCATAGTGGAAAAGTCACGTCATGCCCGCGAAGAGCGCGCCCTGGCCAAACGCCAAGAGAAAGCGATTCTTACAGTGCAGTCATTAGTTCGCAGATATCTTGTCAGATGCAGACTTTGTAGAGAAGTTGAGACAGTTTTGAATGAAGAGCTAAAAGCAGTTAACGAAGACCCAGAAAAAGATTTCAAAAGTTGCTTTCAAGCTATTGAGAGATACCTAATTGCGAACCATTTGAAAAGAGATGTGAAACATTTCAACAAGTTTTACTCGAAGTTATCGATAATTTGCAAATGCATTACAACTTCAATTATGGCCGACTGTTCGCTAAAACACTCGTACGTTGGTCATGTGTTGCAGAAAGATTGCGTGAAAACGTGGTCCGCTCAGGTCCAAAGCTTAATCAAGTTGTCATTGATGCATTGTGAAAATTTGGATATTTCACAGTCGGCCCACAAGGTAATTATTTCAGACAGCTCCGAGAAGTTACAAATTGGTTTTATATGCTCCAATTTTTTTACTTGCAAGTTTGGCGTGGTTGCTTTTATTTTATTACATTCCAAATTGTAACATGCAAAATTTCTGTTTTTGTGCATTTTAAGCTCCCTTTAGCCGTTTTCTCGCTTATGTTTGCCAAGTTGCAATTGTCATTTTTGTGTTCAAGTGTCTGTGTACTGCTCAAATGTTATAATGTGTTTAATCATCTTTTTTAAACCACTCTCAATAGTACCTGGTATGCATAGGGCAGCATGTGATAGCAATAATTATAAGACTCTTAAATATGTCGCGATTATTTTTTGCTCACCCTCAAATTAACATTTTGCGGTTTGATTTGATTTCTTTTAAGTTCGGTTCATTTTCTTTGTTATAAGGAAGGCAAACTCTTCTAACGAGCAGCAGAAAATAAAAAAGTAACGAAAAACGTGATCGAATTCTAGATTCGAAAGTGGAATTTATTTATCAGATTTCCCAGCGAACTAAAAACTTTACCTATTGATCGGGTTAATTTTATCAAAAAAGAACTAGTCATAAATAGTTTGTGAAGTTCGAAGAGCTGAAAGTCTATAATTCATTTTTTTGTTTTTTTTTGTGTACCGAAGCTATTCCAACTCATTTTGGTTTTTTGCCTCAAGGAAAAAAATGAAGTTATTTGGATCGTGTGGTTTTTGAGAGAAATTATGTAAATTTGTAGACACTATTGTTTGGTTTTCGCGAATTGACTTCTTCACTTTTCAAGTTTGTAAGTTAACTTCAAATATGTTTGCCAAATGGAAGGTAAACTACGCTTTTTTGACAAATATTGAAATAGCGCGACAATGTGAATGAATTTGTTCAAAACTGCTATTAATTTCCCAGGTTTTTCCAGCGGAAAAAATAATTCAATTAGCTGGCTATGTGGATTTATTCTCAAGTTCCAAGCAATTGAAAATCGATAGAAAAGTGTTCTTTTCGAAAAGACAAGCAGAAATGGTGCGTAACGAAAACGCTATGTAGGTCGCGTAGATTTTGGTAATTTTTTCACAAAAGTCTAAAATTTGTTGAGGATCAATTTTGATTTATCACGTTTTGGTTTATTATTTCTTCTTAAATTCAATTCAAATTCTTTTGCCAAAGGGAAAGCAAATTATGCGCTCTAACAACGAAAGTGCAAAAAGCACACAAAATATTGAAGTTACGAAAGTGGATTTTAATATTAAGATTTTCCAGCAGAAAAACCTATTGATATATTACACCTGCGAGCGTAGTGAATAACACGACTATTTTTTCCCCAACCTAAGTCGCAAATTTTGATGCTTCTTTTGGGACATTTTTAGGGGTTTTTGATAGCATGTGATTTGATATTCGATTAGTACTAAATTAACACAGTTGATGCATTTTTCATTCATCCAATGAAACAAAAAAAGCTATTTGTTTCAAGCAACAGTACAATAATAAAAACTCGATTTCAGAAAATTTCCAACTCAAGATATTTCGCAATTTTTTTGAAATGCATAATTTATTCAGAATTTGGTTTTATTCTTTACAATTTTTTACATGCAAAATTCGTCTGGATGCTCAGTTTTGTTAAATTTCAATTGCAAAATTGTGTCTTTTTGTATTTGTTGTCCTTTTTGCTGCATCGGATTGGCAATTTCTCAGCGTATTTAGCTGCTTTATTTGTGGCTAGTGTTAGCAAATTATCAAGGGCTCGTAGCGCAGATGCGAGGGTAGAGACTCTTAATCTCGGGATCTTAGCGTCGTTTCCGCCTCAGCAAAGTTTTTTTTCAAGACTGTTTTACCTATTTCTATTTCACTTTATTTCAGAGCTACTTTTTTCAGGTTTTCTTTCTAGTGTTTGCAAATCGCAGCTTCGCCTCTGTTTCGATAATCAATTTCAAACTAATATATTGCAGTCGCGAGTTTATTGACGTTTTTCGAACTGTCCGTTATTATGTTTTTCTGTACGCGGATGTTTCAAGTAGGTTATTTGAGATAAAACGAGGCTGTTCAATAATTTTATAAGAAATGAAGTTTTTTTTTCTAGTTTGTTCATTTTTTTATGAACTACGCCCACTTACTGTGCTCAAGTTTCATCGGTGCAGAACTCAAGACCATTTTCTCTTATATTGATTTTTTTATTGTTCCGACCATTGAAAATGGGGAGGAATTTTGGTATTCGGGTGTGTTTTAGTTTTCTTTTGTTTTCCACGCAAAATCAGGTACCACAAATAATTATCGGAATGAGTCGAGTGATATATTCTATTAAAGCTCTTTCAGTCGTGATTCTTCGAACGACATTAAAAAGTTTCGAATTTTTTTTCAGTGTCGAGAAAAACCGGTTTGAATTTTTGATTTTTGGTCTAATTTTGAGCTAATAAGGTGACTTTGTATGCTTGTAATAGCCTATTAAGCTTAATGCAAGCCGTTAAAACTTAATTTTACTCAATTAAAGGTAGTTTTTGTAGTTTTTTTGCGCAATTTTTGAAATCAAAAACTTGAAAATTCAAAAAATTTCTGCAAAAAAAATATGAAAAAATTTTCTTGTCATTTTTTCTTCAAAAACTGTTTTCCATTTGACCTATTTTACTATGACTCTCAAATATGCCTAAATTCCATTTTTTTTGTTTGGATGCAGAAAAAAACGACACCAATTTGAAACAAAAACGTTTTTGTATGTTTTTTTTTAAAACTGGTCGGAACATTCTGTGCGACTTGCACAGTAACCGGAAATTCTTGTTACACTTGCGAAGCGAGTGTATTAGTTTGAACCTTCTTTTTCCCAACCTAAGTCGCAAATATTGGTGCCACTTTTGGGTCATGTGCTTTTTGATAGCATGTGCTTTGACATTCGAATAATAGTAAGTTAACATAGTTGATGCATTGTTAATTCATCAAATGAACCGAAAAAAAGTGATTTATTTCAAAGAACGTAACAGTAATGAAAACTCGATTTCAGAAATTTTCCAACTCAATATATAGTGTTTGTCGGCTGTTAAGCGTGCGTGGCTGAGTGGATAGTGCGTGAGACTCAAAATCTCTTGATTGCAGTAGGTCGCAGATTCGAATCCTACACGTAGCCGAGTTTTTGCTAATTCGAGGCTAATTTCTATTTTCTTTATTTCACTTGATATAGCAGTTTTTTGGTCGTGTTCTCGCAAGTGTTTGCGAAGCGCAGCTTCGCCTCTGTGTGGAAATTTTGGCAATCATCAAAGTTACTCGAAGTTAGACGGCTTAGCCTTAACTATTCAATTGGAGCGTAGTAATAAGTTTCGGATCCTTATTCCAGTGTCTTTAAATTTCAAATTGGAAAACCTTTTATTTATTGCAGACTTTTCGTTGCGGATTGCTTCCGTGCTAATGCGTGGGAATATGGGCGTTCTGCTTTGTTTTGTTGAAAAACTATTTTTTGAGCAATGTAAGGCATTGTGGCGCATTTGGCAAAGTGCATTTAGCACATGGTCAGTTGGCGGGGCTTTGAGTGCTTGGGTGCGCTCAAGTTTTAGCTTACAAAGCAGAATGTCCAAAATATCTGCAGCACATTAAAAGAAATAATCGCTGATAAGAGCAGCTTCAGTTACATATTTTTCACTATACGTTTTTGAGTAATTTGATAATGTTTTTCAGGACACCTTTTTGATCTATCTGAGGATGGCACTGCTCCTTACGGAAGTGACTGCGTGGAAGCAAGTCGCTGCTGTCAAACAGTTTCAACTGCTCAAAGTGGGACTTACCAACGTAGCCAATGTATTTCTCACCCACTATCAATCCAATGGTGCTATCCGGATCCTTGGCAAGAACCTGTTCAAACACTTCGCCTCCGGAACCTCCGCTCAGTTATCGGAATTAGTTATAACTTCAGTGCTGACAATATTTAACCGCATCTTCAATGTGTGCAAACACTCAAATGAAGTCATAGACGAGTATTGTGTGTTTTTCCTGACAATTCCAGGAATCATAGCGCTTGTCGCTGATTATTCAACGCCATCAAAACTCATTTTTAAAGATAGCCTATCTATAAAACTACTCAACTACCTATCTCTTGAAAAGAACCTAATGTCAGTTGTTTGTACGTTAGATTTTAATAAACTACTATTCATCTTGGCAAATTGCATACAGATTGGGTACCTTGACCGAGAAACTGTTTTGACCCGGAAAGTTAGGCCGAATTTTGTAGATGTGACCTGCTCGATTTTGAGACACCTGCAAGTGCTATGCTCATTTGACAACAAGGCCTCAGGGTCCAAGTACTGGCATGAGATATTTGGATACATTCCACAGACAATAAATAGATGTAAGTTGAAACACTCGTGATTTAATAACCCATAAATGGCGTAGGATTAATTGAATTGACAGACAGTCTTTGACGATATTAATAAGAATATAGGTTGAAACTTCTTTTCTAAGTATATATTTCTGTGAGAATATTTCTTAAACTTTTACTTTTTAAAACGTTTTAAATATGGCATTCGCACAACCAACATTAAAAGAATCGTCTAATTGAGTTGAAGATGCAAATAACGTTTTTTTGTTTGTTTTAAGGCAATTGTAACCTAAAAGTAGTCAAGCAACAGCTGGCATGTCTTTGGAAGCCAGAACTAGCCGAGAGTCTTTTCTCAACCCTGATGGAGGTCAACTCAGTGGCATCTAATGTTTTCCAACAGTCCTCGAGCTCAGCAACAACATCCGGGAAGTCTCCTTCGAGTCAAATTGTCTCGGAGTCCAGTCTGACTTCTACGATCACAGCATCCTCAGTGCCAGCAGTCAAAAGCAAGAGTAAAGCGAGCAAACTTTTTCGCAAAGCTTTTCCATCTTTAGGAGCCTCAAAAGCGACATCCAAATGTCTGGTTAGTCTGGATTCGTTGGAGATGTTCCATGTCTCGGGAGTTTGTAACTTGTACCAATTGGCTAAAGATGTTTTGTCACAATGCAAAGTGGAAATGCTGTGTGGAATCACAAGATTAGAGAACATTTTACCTCATATGTTGCATTTCATTCTTCTCTATGCTTCGAGAGATGCTGCTAAATTTTTCACAGACATTTGTGCCAAGAACAGCAAGGCGATTAGCAGTGCAAACGGCGAGTTTTATAATGCCATAACTGATTTACACGAGCGAGCTCTGTCGGTTTTTTCATTGTTTTGCGAGTGTACATGGTATCTTACGACTATATTGGACGACATTGAAGTTTACGAACAGGATAAATTGTTCGTTATGTCGGATCTGCAGCTGTTGGTTCTATTCTTAAATCAGCTGTGTTTCAATTTAATATGGAATGAAAGCTACGCCATTATGCCGACAGTTTTCAATGGCGTGCATTCGTTGTTGATTTTGCTGGTGGAGAGAAATTACAGGAGACAGTTTCTGCCTCTTGAATCGCTTCTCATCAAAGATATTAAAACTTGTGTAAGTCACAATGTTCTGCAACTTCCCTCTAATTACCTAATGGAAAGCTCGAAAAATTTGTTTGGTTGACCCAAGAATGGTCGACCGAAAGTTCTGATCGAGAAAGGGTCAGACCGAGAGTATTTGACCCCTCAAGAAAATATCGGATGCGCTCATGGTACATACAAAAACTACTTAAAAAGCAAGGACAGCAAGTTGTTGGCAAGTATTTTAGGAAGTTTTTAGACTCACATGTGCCAAAACCAAAAAACGGTTGTTACTTAAAGTTGTTGTTTTTGGGAAGGGGCGATGGCTGGCTCAGCTCATTTTTATTCCGAATCATGATTTAAATCAAAACTGAAGGAGTTAGGTAAAATGAATCATATAACAATTTTCTTACTGAGTATATCGTTTTCCGAAAAATTGTCCGACTTTTCATTGCAATGTTTCAGAACTTCTGGGGTGAATACGACAAAAACAGACCTCGAGCCAACTATCTTATCGAAAAAATTCCTCACGTGCTACCTCACAAAGATCGAGTGCTACTTTTCCGACGTCTCGTGAATGATGAAAAACTGTCTCTGGGACTAACAGAAAGCACCCGCCATTACCCGAAGTCAACACTTATAACGATACGAAGAAACACGATTGTCGAAGACGGTTTCGACCAATTAAGTTCGCTTTCAGACGCCAATTTCAAAGGCTTAATTCGAGTTAAGTTTGTAAATGAACAAGGTCTAATGGAAGCGGGAATTGATCAAGACGGTGTGTTCAAAGAGTTCTTAGAAGAGTCGATCAGTAAAATATTCAACCCAGAGTTGAATTTATTCAAGTTGACCGAAGACCAGAAACTTTATCCGTCGCCGACTTCAAACATGCATGAATTACATATTTCCCTGTTCGAGTATGTCGGCAAGTTGCTGGGCAAAGCGGTCTATGAGGGAATTGTGCTGGAGGTTCAGTTCGCGACATTCTTTCTAACGCAGCTTCTAGGTACCTATGTTGATGTTTAAGGTTGTTCAACGTTTTAGTTTTGCTTGCTTAATCAAAGATTTTTTGCTCGCTTAAGCTATATCGTATATTGCAATGCTTATGAAATTTTTCTGATTTTCCATTTATGAATGATAGGCCAAATGATAGTCCAAATCTTACTGCTCAAATCCTTGAAATATGACGTTTTTCGTGGTATTTTCATAAAACTTAGATTTCAAAGAAATTAACAGAACCTGAAACTACTAACCCTTTGATTGGTTGCTGTCGAGGTAAACTATGGGGTTGCAAATATGCCCTCTTAATATAATTGCTCAAATCATTTTGATTTCCGAGATATGATGTTTTTTATGGTTTTTCAAAATTTTTGGATCGAAAAAATTTGAAAAAAAACTTAACATTCTCAATTTTATGGTGGGTGCTATCACAGAATACTCAGAACTGAAATTACCCTTCTACTTCTTCCGGTTTCACAGATATGGCATTTTTAAGTTTTTTTACCCTTGCGATAAGCAAGGGTATTGCAATGGCGTACTAAGACTTTTTTTCCCGAAAAAAATTTTAGGCAACGATTTCGCGTGAAAGTGTTAAACGGGTTTTAACTGGAGAGGTAAATGAAGTGGGTGCATGTTTGTCGTGGGCTTTCTGTGCCTGTTATAGTTTCCTTTAATTTTATTTTTGAATTTTTTGGGTATCTTTTCGGCGCTTGAGTGTCGCTTTAATTCCGTCGGCTTATTTTCCGATTGGTTTTTTCTCATTTTTTCTCAGTTTTGTAAGAATGGTTGAAGTCTCTCAGAGTATATTTTGGAAGAATCAAAATCCCAGACCCATTATAATGAAAAAGAAAAACTTAAACATTTTTTTTTTCGTTTGCAAAATAGATATAAAAACTTTGATGCTTTTCATTTTTTGAAGTAGTTTTTTTTATGGTGTCAGTAATTGATTTTATGAGTTTCGCCATTATTTTTGTTATCTGAAATTTTTTCTACAATTACAATTATTGGCTCATCGCTTTTTAATCCATATTGTTTCCACAAGTAGCTGTTTTAATTGAAAAACAAGAACGAAACATGCCTGAATTGCCAGCAAATTAGAAATTAATAATTTTAATTTCATTGATAGTTTTAATCTAAATTGCTAGACGAGTTCGTCCTTTTGCAATGTCAAGTTGAGTTGGTGTCTGCTAGGTTTCCTATTGCTTTTGTTGGGTTGTTCTGTTTTCTGTTCGCTAATGAAAAAAAAAATTAATATTTTTCACTTACGTATAGCTGATTTCTATCGGTTCTCGGGTGTTTATCCATTTCCAAGTGTATTTCTTCATTTTTAAGTGTTCTTCGATTCAAAATTTAAAATTATTGCTGTGGCTCAACAGGTGTCTCTCAAAAATTGTCGGCTTTTGCCACATGATTTCTCTTTTCTTGTAGTTGTTTTCTTGGTTTTTCTTTTCTTGTTTGCACATCACTGTAGTTGAAAGAGCAAGTGTTGTTCACTCTAGTCTCAAATGGGACTTAAAACTGCTAAGATTTTTTGTGAAAATATTTTTTTCTCAGAACTTGCGTCTGCTCAAAAATTGTTGACTTTGTTTTTTCTTCGTAAGTTTTGTTCCGTTGCTAATTTAATACTTATATTTTTGGTATGTCCGCCTAGAATGAACTTTTATCAGGATATACGAAAGTTTATTTTTTGGTAGAACTAGTTTTTTTCAAAGTTTCCTTTTTTTCACATGCTTTTTTTCAATCGGAAGTGGTGCGAAGCTTAGCTTCCCCTCTGTGTTCAAAAATGATATTATATCCTTGAGCTCTGAAAGTGTTAGGGTTGATTTTCAAAACGCAATTATTTTGACGGTTCATGAGCAATCAAGTTTTTAAAAAAAATAAATTTCGGGCCATCACAGCGAAACTTTTCTAAATAACTTTTTTTAGATACGAAGATTTAACATACAATACGAGAAGAGCTACCAAAAACTTATCATAATTCCCACTTTTAGGTTTTAACTTAAACGCGCATTTTTCATCTTTCGGGGTGTTAAGCTTTTTTGTTTTCAAAGAGAACAATGTTTTCCCCCAAAACTTACTTGCTTTTTATCATTCTGAGAACCAAAATATAGCTCATAAATTAAGAGATTTTTATATTTTAAAACATGAATACCTAACACGACCAAATCAAAGAGGGTTTCAATAAATTGGGTTTGTTTTTATAGGAATTGAGTATTTAACCCCTATCCCTTTGCCGCTTTATGAATGCTCTACGGAATTGAGATTTTTCCACTAATTTTTTAGTACGACGGAGTCTATGTGCGTTTAGGTTACTGATTAAGATCTCGAGGAAGTAGAGCATCCATTGAGCTTAAAACTTTTTATTCAAAAAGATTAATGCAGTAATAAAAATTTTCCGAAATGAGCATAAGTGGCTCTCTGGAAGAGGAATCTACGCCCAATTTAGAAATTGTCCACAGGAAGTTTTCGGTTTCTAACCTAGGCTAAAATTAACGAAAAAAGATTATCAAAAATTTTATCAAACTCAAATTTAATCAAATTTCGGTGGATTACATCTAAGTTTGTTCATTTTTGAAATATAATTTCATGTCGCCTTGTTAATTATACAATTATTGATAATTGTTAATCAGGGCAGCAAAGCAAAAAGTTTCTAAGTTCAACGATATTTTTGAAGCACTTTAGATGCGAGTCATGCGCTAGTATTCATTACAGTTCAAAGTAGCTATGAAACGAATATTGAATGGAAGTTAGCCGAAACGCAATTTTTCTGTAAGAATGCGAAATTTGGATTTAATTATCATAGTTTTTGAGTCTTTATTGGAGCAATTTTGTACGACTATCATCCCGTCAAACTACTGAGCTCATCGAAAATTACTGAGCTCATTTCGTATTAAAAAGAATATTTCAGGCTCTATTGTATCGATGTGTACTTTGGTTTAGGCACACGAGGAGCTCTCTACAGCTGCATTGATGAGCTGCCTTCTCTTGACGAGCAGCTGTTCCGCAGTCTGTCATACATCAAACACTACGACGGAGATGTAGCTGACCTCCAGCTGACCTTCTCGTGTGATGAAGACGAGATGGGAAGAGTGAAGACGTATGACCTGATTCCAGGGGGAAGTTTGGAGCCAGTCACCAACTCGAATAAGATACTCTACATACATTCCATGGCATTGTTCAAGGTCAGCAGTAAGCTGAACTGTTTCTGTTTGCTTATTGACTTTTAATCCCGTTTTAACGGATTTGAGATCAAATCTAATGATCTGAGGAGAGCAGAAATGAAGCACTGATTAGTATTTTCGGGTGTTTTCGGTTATCCCCCCTAAATAATGAAAATGAAAATGAAAAATCTTCTAACAAAATTGGATCGATATCACTAGGAAATGCAAGATATTTATATGGGACTTGTCAAAACGAAACATTTCTACTTGATTTAGCCTCTAACTAGCTTTTTCTTTTTTTGTTTTGCAGTTTTCTGCACATAAATTTTTAAAAAAGGATGCCGAAATTCATTTTTTCTTTTGTTTATTATGCTTGTTTTGCATTTTTATTTTTCTAGCTTGATTTAGAGCTCGGAATGTAAGTTCCTGCATTTTTGAGTAAAATCAGTTCAATTTTGTACTACAATTTTTTTACAGTTTTGATCATATAGGGGGGGGGGGTATGGTATAACCGAAAAGACCCGTATTTTCGGGTGAGTCTCCTGTTCTAATTGATAAAAAATTAATTAGGCTCATGGTTCCATGATAGAAATCAGTTAGACGTAAATCATAAATCGGATATAAATCAAGGAAGGAACATCAAAAACTCAATTAATAACATTCAAGCAGTTCTTTCCTGCATGTCGACAGTTGGATTGGAAAAAGTTTTCAGCACCTCTGGTTTTGTGCAATCAAACCTGGGAAACCGACTTGAAGTCAAAAATGGCGGTTTCATTATCAAGTCCTAGCTCAGTGCATTATATTTTGTTATCTAATATGATTGATTTCTGAAACGAAAACTGTGTTGAGTACATGTCAAAAAATTGTTTAGATCAAATGGGATTTCTCAAAATCCGATATTTTTTGGAAATCCGATTAGCTTTTGAAAAATCTCAAAAACTGCTCATAGAAAAGACGTTGGGTATTGCCTATTTCTTGTTGTCGTAGTGATGAAGTGTGGCGTGTTTAGATGCACACGCAGATTAAAAAGCAGTCAGTGGCATTCAACCGGGGCTTCAAATCAATCATCAAGCAGCACTGGATGGGTATGTTTAGTGGACCCGAACTGCAGCGACTCATCTCTGGAGACGAGTGCGACCTAGACATTACTGATATGCGGAACAATACTATTTACTACGGTGGATATCACAATCAACACAAGGTAGGTTTATCTCGCTTCTCTCCTGTAACTCAACTTACTTCAAGAAATCTATTGAAAATTAAATTATAGTCAGGTTAAATTTGTATTTTATTGGTTTATAAATTTAAGTGATGTTTTTTTTTGTGATAATATCGTGAAGCGTTCCGAATTATAAGGTTTTTGGTCTTTATGTTACTAATCATAGCTGTTTTTTTTTCAATATTGGTCCAATAACTTGATCAATAAGCTTTTTCCACTACACTACTTTCACAACATATTACTAAACCTTCTTTAGGCTATGTTTTTACTAGAAGTCTTCTTAAATTTTGATACAATTGACTTTGTAAATGACTCTTTCAAAATAATTTACTTATGTTTTTCAAACGTTTGTTTTCTACTGGTTATTAATCAGTCATACATTCAAAAGTCAACAAGAGCATGTTAGCTTCAAAAGTTTCATTTTTAATTTTGCTATGGCTCCTGCTCATGATCCCTCTGTTGGTCCATAGCGCGAGGGTACAATTTTACAATATTCCCTGTATGGCCAGTGGCAGTATGGACGACATAAATGACTGTCTGGATTCTAAACTTCCCTCGGCGGACAAAGACAGCTACAAGGCACTGCTGTTTCAAGCCTTATTATAGTATATTGTAGGCGGTAGCAAGTCAATTAAACTAACTAAGCTTTCGAGTAATCCCAGAACCGATTTTTGTCATCTTTATTATGTTTTAAGTTCTTGGTTGCCAAATTAAATGTTTTCTTACTTGAATTTATTTTTTAATGGAAATAGAATGTTAAATTATTTAAATGAACCTTCTATTCCTGTTAATCTTGTAAGAATAAGATTATTGGACGCAGTTGACTTGTATTTAAACTAGATTATTAGGCAGGGCACTCAGCATGTCAATTTTTTTTTCTGAGAGGCAGTGTCTGTGTATCTGTAAGAAATGTGCCGACGACCTTGTACAAAACAAAACTGACGATTTCTTTGATTGTCTCAAACAAGAAGGAGTAAAAATGACCGCATTTATCAAAGAGTTCAAAGAATTCTACGCAGAAGTAGCTAACCGAACTCAGGTTGTGTTTTGTCTATTAGTCCGGGCCCATATTTTTGAATTTAGTTTTTTTTATTGATGTTAATTTAAAGGAAGATGGAAAGTTCATATATTTCTAGTTCACGGTTTTCTTAAGTTTAACAAGTTGAGAAAGTCTCGAATTTGGCAATAATGTGCGGACTAATAAAAATATCTACAGGCAAGCACCACAATTCTGCCGTCTACGCCGGAAAACCCTAGGTTCAATTATGAAGCAGGAAATTCGCCACCATCATGTTGTGAAATTATTCCACCTGAGACACTTAAACTGCTAATTCTGTTGACAATGTTGTTGTTACTAATCGAGCAATAAACTAAGTTTGAAAAGTCTTTAGACAGAAGTGAGTGGTTCTGTACGCTGGTAGAATTGAAAATTTCGATATTTGGTATTGTTTTTTAAGTTCAAATTTTGATCGATAGCGAACACTGGTTGATTTGGAAACAGCGTAAGTCATTGATTAAAATTGGTTCCAAGTTTTTTGAGGCGATAGAATGCATGTTTTGATTTTTGTTGAATAGCTGCAAGATTCGAATTTTTTTTTTTGAAGTGTCGAATAGCGATTAATTAACCTTTGAAAGTAAAGGTGAAAATAATAAAAAAACTCTCTTGAGAACAGCAAGCATTCATGAGGGCAGAATTCATCCCGTGACAATTTTCATTTTTTAGGTCAAACAGAAGTTCCCTCTTAACGTTAAATAATTTCAAGCATTGATAAAATGGTACCATTTGGTTTAGTTGAGCAGAGAAGTTGAAGGAGCTCTAAGATCATGCTGAAAATTGAAAAGAAAAAAGTTGTCTGGTTGCTCTGAGCTATTAATATACTTATCCAAATGAACGAATGATACGACTGGATTTGCTCGGTATATGAGTTACTCAGCAAGGAATAAAGAGCGAAGTTACTTTCACTTATATAGGTCGTGATTTGCTTAAGTTTTTTTATTTCGGGAAAAAATTGTTCACGCTCATTTGTTTTTTTTGGTGTTTCGCTTTTGATTTCATTTTAACTCAATTTAAATTCCTCTGTTAAAAAGAAGAAAAATGAACTATCGAACATCAAAATATAAAGATCAATAAAAATTTCAACCAATTTTAGTTTGACAATTTATTGTTCCGACCATTGAAAATGGGGAGGAACTTTGTATTCGAGTGTGTTTTAGTTTTTTTTTCTTTTGTTTTCCATGCAAAATCAGGTACCACAAATAATCATCGGATTGGGTTGAGTGATTTATCATATTAAAGACCTTACAATTGTGATTCAAGCAAAAAATTTTCCCAGTGTCGAGAAAACCCGGTTTGCCATTTTTTGATTTTTCGCCCTATTTCGAGCGAATAAGGCGAGGAAGCAGTCTTATTTTAACTGCTTAAAAGCTTACAATAGCTTAATTTAAAGCGTAAAACTTAGTTTTACTGGAGTAACGTAAGTTTACTTTGAGTATTTTAGCTCCTTTTGGGAATCAAAATTTTTGCAAGTTCAAAAAACTTATTTTTTTTTTGATTTTGTTTTCATTTATTAAGTAACTTTTCTAAAAAATGTTTTTCAATTTGCTTATTCTACTATGACTCTCGAATATACTTTATCTCCAGTTTTTTGTTCAGCTTATCACACCGCGCCGAAATAAAACGACAATAGTTTGAAAAAGATTGTATTTTTTAAGACTATGGTCGGAACATTCTGTGCCACTTGCACAGTAACCGGCTCTCCTTGCTTTTACTTGCGATCATCATAGTATGCTGTTACGAACCGACTTTTTTTTCTAAAGTAAGTCGCAAATAAAAGTGTTCATTTAAAGTGTTCACTTATTTGGGAATTTCCCTGTTTTTGGTGTCTATTAAGCTTCCGTGGTTAGTTTTTAAGATCGGTGGTTCTTGGGTAGTGTGTAATGTCTTGATCGCAGGTTCGAATCTCAGAGGTATCCGAATTTTCACTAATTCGAGAAATATATTTTTTTATTTCACTTAATGCTGCTTTTTGTCGTGTTCTCAAGTGTTGCGAAGCGAAGCTTCCCCTTTGTCGAGCCTACTATGTCGGTCAAACTGCCCGACACCTTGAGACCCGAATATCAGAACACCTGAGAGCGAGTGAGCCAGTGGGTTCTCTCCCTAACAACTGTGCAGGAATAGACGCACGCACATTACGTATCAATTCTTGAGAAATGTCATGACATTACCACATTACTAACTCTCGAGGCTCTTCACATTGTTCAGAAGAAGCCGGTCCTAAATACACGTGAGGAGTACAGGCGGCGCCCCCTCACAGTGCGGCTATTAGTACATGTTTTAAAAAACTGTTAGTTGTGGGTTTTTTCACCACCTCAGTTTTACTGTTTTGTGCAGTTTATTAAGTTGTTGGTTTTTTATGCCTTTTTTCTTGTACTTGTTTTGTGGATTTTTAAACGAAATTTTTTTTCTTGTTATAGATAACTGATGATGGCAGTACTGCCGAAAACGTTTTCAAGTCAATATTGATCCGACTTGTTTCCTTCCCCTTTGTGTTTGATTTCCCAGCCAACCAAAAAAAATACACATTGGCCCAGCTCTGTCGAATTAGGTTAAATTTATATCAAAAAAGTGGCAATCATCAATTGTTCGTCACATTCACAAAGTTTCAAGACCGTATAATTTTTTTATTCTTTGGAGTTCAAAATTTCAATTTTTTCAAACAGCAAGTCAATGATTTTTTCTCTTTCCTTGTGTTCATTTAATTTTTTTTCCAAATTCAAAAGGCAGTTTTTTTTCTTTCTATGCGTTCATTCAAGTTTTGCTAACTTTCTGTTTACACAAGCAAACCTTGTGTTATAGTATGAACTCTCTTTTTTCCCCACCCTAAGTCGCAAATATTGTTGCAAAAAATGTGTTCATTTTGATCAAAAATCAGCTATTAAGTATAGCCAATGCTAAAGATATGAACACAGACTGTTATATTACAAATAGCATTTTAGCCTCAAGGTATCATGGATCTGTAGTGTAGAGGTAGGGAATGAGACCTGCAACAAAATAAGTGGGTTCGAACATGGGCAGGGTCGGATGGTTTTAATGAACTTTTTCGTATACTAGTTAAAATGCGTCCGCTTTGTGAATTGAGGCATGTTAGTTGGTAAATTTTTTTTTTTCAAATTGACTGGTACTGCTAATGCGTCATAATAAGCTTGCGTCACTTAGCTTTTATGTAGACTCATGATTGCCGTGCGTGACTTAAGAAGTTTTCTAGACTCAAAGTTTTACTCATTCAGTTTTTCCCAGTAGCATTATCGGTCATATTTTTGCTTGTGTATGCGAAGTGCACAATCGCCTCTGTGTGACTATATTTAGGAAATATCAATTACCTTTTGCAGGATTTCTGTCATGATAATGCTATAGCGCCTGGTTGAAGAGCAGAGGTTCGGTTCGTGGCCAGACCTTGTGTTCGTCATTCATGTTATGTTTTTTTTTGCTGAAATATTGTCGTCTGTTCTTGTCAGACCAATAATTCTTTTGCATCTATAATTTATCTAGATTTATTGCTATTCTGTATATATCGAGTGGTCTTAAGATTTTCACCGAAGATCATTCGCATTCGATGATAATTTCTCTGGTTTTCAATTTAGTTTGTTATGTAAGTTTTGGAATGATGAAACTTTGTTATGAATGCTTTCTGTTATGCAATGACGTATATAGTAGCATTACATGACTTTTTTTGAAGAAATTAGTTGCTTCCGCTCTATTGATTTCGGTTGTGAATATAGTGAAGGGAATCATTCGGGTCGTTTGACTTTTTTTGCTATTGGATTTTTCTTGATGGACTACAGACTTTTTGAAAGTTAAATTCCAAGTCATTTGATAAAAGGAAGGCCTAAAAAATCTCTTCGATTAAAAAAGCGGAACTGACGCAAAAAAAAAAACGTGATTGACTTAGTTTCAACAGTGGATTTAAATTTGTAAGTAGCTG